CTTTGGTTGGGATGTTGAAGACTAGGACAGAGTACAACTGATTGCTTATTTTACCTACATTGTAATACAAATCGACTTCATTTGGCATAATGTTTTAAACCAATTATATGTCATACTATTATTCAATAAGAAACCAGCATTTTACACCATGGCCTTAGATGATATTTTCCAGTATTTCTGTGTTTCAAACAAATGTCTTTATTTGATTATTTGAGGTTGTTTATAATGCCATTTAATTCAAGTGAACACATATATTTACAGTTACTGATATTCTAGTCAATTAATGTTGCCACTGAAAGAAAAAAGTTGACACAACTAGTTATTTGTTAAAATAGAGAGCAGGAGATTAAATTATAAAATAGGGAAAAAGAAAGATAAAGAAAGAAAATTTTCTAAGCCTTTTTTTTTTTGATTCTTGATTATATTTGTGGTCAGAGAATAGGAACTTTGTGATATAAAGCATTTGCTGTTGGAACACAGATGGAAAAATAGATAAAGAGAATAAAGAGTCAAGAAATATCCACAAATACATCCCAGAACTTGTGTATAACAGAGATGGCATTTCTGATGAGTTTGGTGATAGGACTTAAAAAATTCTCATATAATTACTCATCCCAGGTGGTACCAGTGGAAAAGAAACTGCCTGCCAATGCAGAAGACATAAGAGACACAGGTTCAATCCCTGGGTCAGGAAGATCCCCTGGAGGAGGAAATGGTAACCTACTCCAGTGTTTTGCCTGGAGAATCCCATGGACAGAGGAGCCTGGTAGGCTACGGTCTGTAGGATCCATAGGGTCACAGAGAGTTGGACATGACTGAAGCATCTTGTTATGCAGTGTGTGTATATTGAAAAATATAAGACTTAATCTCTTAATTACACAAAAATAAGTTCCATATTAAGACTTAAATGTGAGGAAAAACCTGTACAGGAAAATAAGAGAGTATTTCTGAATATTTCTAGAACCTTATATCATGCCTCTGTGTATATTTATCTTCATATTAAAACATTTAAATAATATTCTTAACACAGCATCCAGAGTGATTCTATTAACTGTAAATCAGATTATGTCACCCCACTGCTCAAAACCTTCCAACTTATGACTCCCATGGCACTCAAAGCAAAATCCCAAGTCCTTACATTAACCACCAAGATCCTGAAGAATGCACCCCAACTCTGATCTCATCTCCTACTTCTCTCGCCTTCGCTCTCTCTATTTTGCAAAGTTTGGCTCCTTTGTTGCTCCTGGAAAAAACTAAGATGCTCCTCTACCGGGGCATTTGCTCTTGTTTTTTTGCCTAAATTCTTTCCCCAGAAAGTTACATGACTTGTTTACAACCTCTATTAAATATTTGCTCAAAGAAAGTGAAAGTGAAGTCGCTCAGTCGTGTCTGACTCTTTGCGACCCCTTGGGCTGTAGCCTACCAGGCTCCTCTGTCCATGGGATTTTCCAGGCAAGAGTACTGGAGTGGGTTGCCATTTCCTTCTCCAGGGGATCTCCCCAAGCCAGGGATTGAACCCAGGTCTCCCGCATTGTGGGCAGAGGCTTTACCATCTGAGCCACCAGGGAAGCCCCAAATTATATCTTATCAAATATACTTGAGAGGGTAGTTTTGCTTTACCCATTCTATACCTATTGCTTCCTGTTGGTCTTTTTTCTGCTTTATATTTATTTCTTCATAATCCTTATCCCCACATTTTATGATGTAATTTATTTATCAATATCTTATTATCATCAGTTCAGTTGAGTTAGTCAGTTGTGTCCAAAACTTTGCGACCCCATGGACTGCAGCATGACAGGCTTCCCTGTCCATCACCAACTCTCAGATGATGCCATCCAACCATCTTATCCTCTGTCATCCCCTTCTCTGCCTGGCTTCAATCTTTCTCAGCATCAGGGTATTTTCCAGAGTCAGTTTTTCGCATCAGGTGGCCAAAATATTATTATCATGTTCCCCCTCAATTGAATGGGTAAGGGTTGCTTGTTATTATTATTTTCTAACTACTGTATGCCCAGCATTTCAACAGAGGAGTTCAATATTTGATGTGAAAATTAATAAATAGACCCTTTAAGACTCAAATTAAATGTTAGTTACTTTTATGAAGTCCTCTAGTTAGAAGGAATCTCCTGTCATTAAAACAGGTAAGCTTCCTGTATCTTATTGCTTTATTTCTGTTTTCCCCTCTGCATTAGTCAGAGTTGTCCAGAAAAAACAGAACCAATAGGACGTATTTCCCCAACCTCTCTTTACACACACACATATATACACAGAGATTTTAAAGAACTGGCTTACACAATTATTGGGGCTGGCAAGACCCAAATCTGTAGGCTAAGATGACAGGCTTAAGATTCAGTAAGAGTTGATGTGGCAGTCTTCAGTCTGCTAGAAACTCAGGCTGAATTTTCATACTGAACTCTGGAGGCAAAATCCAGTCATCTTTGGGAAACACAGTGTTTGCTTTTAAGGCCTCCAACAGTTTGGATGAGGCCCATCCATATCATGAAGAGTAATCTACTGTACTGAGTCTATTAAATGTTAATCACATCTAAAAGCTATCCTCATGAAACATCTATATTCATGTTTGACCAAACAACCGGTCACCACTGTCTAGCCAGGCTGACACATAAAATCAACCATCATAGTTTCTTATTCTTCTAAACACTTCATGTACCTATCTTACCACTTCCTTCTTCCTTCTTCCTCACATACTGCATTCAAATCAATTTACAAATCCTGTTGGCTCTAGGTTTAAAATAATCCAAACACTTCTTCCCATGCTATGGACACCCAACACCTTGGTTAGAACCACAGTCATCTCTTACTGGAACAAAGGCAGTAGTATCCTTTTTCTCAGCTTCTCTTTATTCATTCTTGCTTCATTAAAATTTATTTTCCATAGAAAAACACGATTACTCCTTTTAAAACATAAGTAACGAAGTAAGTGTTAGTTGCTCAGTCGTGTCCAGCTCTGTGACCCCATGGACTGTACAGGCTTCTCTGTCCATGAGATTCTCCAGGCAAGAATACGGGAGTGGGTTGCCATTCCCTTCTCCAGGGCATCTCCCTTACCCAGGGATTGAACCTGGGTCTCCAGAATTGCAGGCAGATTCTTTACTCTCTGGGCCACCAGGAAAGCCCAAACATAAGCATCCCCTTTGCAAAGCCCTCTAATGACTTCCTGTCACACAAATCAAATTCAAAATCTGGATGTGACTCACAAGGCTATGCTGCATCTAACCATGGCTGTTTTCCGGCCCCCAACCTCCATTCTCCCCTGGCTCACTCTGCCTCAGCTCCATCCATCAGCATGAAAGGATGCCCTCTCCTCATGCCTTTTGTACTGACTGCTCCCCCTGCCTGTGAATTCCCCTCAGTGAAACCATACCTGAATGTACAGCATCTCCTACACTTAATGTCTATCCCATTGACCTCCTAGATTTTTCTTCATTGTATTAGTTGTTATCTGACATTCTTTATTTAATTTTGCAGGCTCTATTAGATTGTAACCCTCACTAAAAGAGTGGCTTTTTTGCTTCACTGCTATATATATATATAGCACCTAGAATAGGTACTGAACCCTTATGCCCTCAGTAAATATTGTTTAATGAATTAATGAAGAAATGATCACTCTTTAGCTTACTAAAAATGTTGTATATAATTGTTAGCTTCTTTAGAAACCATATCTTATTTGTCAAAGATATATTAGGGGCTCACTAAATATTTTAGACTCAATAAATGATTTAAAAGGCAATCCTGGATATGCATATATACAGTAGTTTTTCTAACATTGGGTATTTTGCAGATTGTAGTTCAATGGATGCTTTCTGAGTCTCAAATACAATCTACTTTGGATCTGAAAACTGTTGAGGTTAACATGTGCCTAATTTTATTTTCTGTTAAGAGAAATTAATTGGCAGTAATAACTAACGAGATTTTGTAATGAATTGTTTTGAAAACTGGCAAGCAGTACAATTTATATGACCAACTCATTGTCCAAAGTTCTTGCTTCTATACTAGATGTTTTCTGTGTCAAAAATACTGAAGCAGTTTAGGTGTTGCTAAACCTAATTGTTCAGAGCCAGGTAAGAGACATCTTAATGTTATTTTGCTGATTATCTATTTGTGGAATAGGCAGTTAGGCACCAGAAATTTTGGCCTTTGATAACTTTTTTAAAGTTTTTTGTTCTTTTTTTTTCTTCCCCCTAGTTTATTTTTGCTTTTTTTTTTTTTTTTCCCTTGGGGGTAATAGGTGGATGAATTTTTATAGATAGGGAAGAAATAAGAGTGATTACCTTATACCTATCGACTTCACTCATTTTATGCTTTAAAAATGCATTTGTATTTTCACTTACAAAATGGTTCTAACTTGCAACGTTAGACACATACATTTGCAGGGGAGTTTATTTTGAAAAAATAGCAGATTAGAAAAACAACTCCATTTTGTGGGAAAAGAACTGGATTAATTTTAAAAAGATTTTAGTTCTGATTTGGGTATCTGACATTTGGAAGTGTAACTCAGGAGAGTTACAGCATGTTAGAGTAGAATGAAACCTTAGACATATCTCAAACCAGACCTTTCGTTTTACCGATGAGGAGCTGATGCCTAAAGACATTGTGTGCAGAGCAAAGAATAAAAAGAAAGCTTCCTGATTCCTAGGCTTCTCATCAGTATTTTAATTTGTAATTATATATATATATATAAATTATATAGTGATCATATATGTATATGTGTAAATGTTCACATATTGAAAGTAATATCTTTGTCTCTCTCTAACACTATACTGCAGTCTTGCCTTTTTAAATAGTTGCAAGCTCCTGGAAAGCAGACATTCCAGAATACGCTTAAATTTCTTTCCTTCTCAAAAAATCAACCGGGGAGCTGAACCCTCGGTTTGTGCCCTATAAAATATATTAAATAAAATTCACTTTAAAGAAGAATTGCACAACAACCCAACCGCCGCGGGGCCGACTCTGGCCCTTTTTTGGCTCAGTACCAGCGCAGAGAAGTGCGCCCGCCCAGCTCTCTGCCAAGGCTACAGACGCGCCTGAACCGGTCTCCTAGGATGCAGGGACGCAGAGCAGTTCTGATGGCAGAAACAGCAGGGGACCGGTAGGTGGGGCCAGCGGAGCTTGGGCCTCGGCCAAGGGTCTATCTCCTTTTCCCCAGAAGTGAGAGGGGTCCACGGCCGGCCGCCGCGCAGCGGCCTGTTGTCAAGGCAACCTACAGACGCAGATCTGAGTTGGCCAGAGCCTTTGCTGAGAGCTGTCTCTTTTTTGGCTCTTCCGCTCTGAAAAGGCCTCAAAGGAGTTCTCTCGGTGGAATTGCTTCAGTTTATACCTTTTCCAGCTCTCCCATCGTGGACTTACTCTTACCCTGGATTGGTTGGGTCACTTCAGGTTGGTTGCCGCTTGGGTCCTGCCCTAGTCCATGAATCTCAGTAGGAAGAGGGTGCTAGGACATTGCAGGTGCTCTTAAGTATAATCTCAGCTTTTGCGGGAGTGATGTGAGGCAGTTACTCTGCTGTGTTTGAAATTAGGAATGATCCTAGGTTCCATCAGACACCTGGATCTTTATCCCCGGGGCTCCGAGGTGGTCTTGATCTTCCCCTGCGTGGAGTTTAAATACGAAATTGTATTTACACATCTCTTTTCCTCTCGCCTTGCTGATGGACTGGATTTGATCAATTTATCCTTCACTTTTCACTATGTTCTGATTTGATATAAGCGGCATAATAGCCCCTGATACCAAAAGAGATGTGATAAAAATTGGAGCTGGGCAAAATCATCTTTAAAAAATGAGGGAAGTGGGAGGTGATTCAGTTCGTTTTGGTGGCACAAAAGCTAACATGGAAAGGCGTGGTTCTGTTAGTTAACAACCCAGCATTCATTACATGCTAGAAATAACATCTCATGACTTGGCAGCTGTTTGCAGAGACACAAGCCATCAGACCTTGCTCTTCTCTCCTCTGGCTACCCTATCCCCACCATACCCCAACTACATATTCAGTGCTTTAGGGCAAAGTCAGGCCTTGATATGCAATCCAGGATTAGCTCCAAGCCATTTGTTTGAAATGCTGATCCTTTTACCAGCAAGTTTAGGTTTCTGGGCTTCCCTGGTGGCTCAGATGGTAAAGCATCTGCCTGCAATGCCGGGGACCGGGGTTCAATCCCTGGGTCCGATCCCTGGGTCGGGAAGGTCCCCTGTTGAAGGAAATGGCAACCCACTCCAGTACTCTTGCCTGAAAAATTCCACGGACTGAGGAGCCTGGTAGGCTACAGTCCATGGGGTCACAAAGAGTCAGATACGACAGCCACTTCACTTTAGGTTTCTGGTGTTCCTTAGTCTTTGCAGCTAATTCCCCTCCCCTTCCCTATTGCTTGTACCAGAAATGGTGTAGCACTGAAAAGAGGTCTGAAACCTGTATGACTTCAAACTCTGCAATAATTAGCAAATAATTTGGCAAAGTAAAATTCAGTTTTCTGGGTCTGAAAGTCAGAAGGTTGAGCTGTTTTATCAATGCTAGTAATTATTATTCTGAAATAATACATATCTGAATTGACTGAACTCACTTTAACAAATATTTAAGCTCCTACTATTTTATTGTTAAGTGCTGAGATATAGGGTGAGGAAAACCAGTAGTGATCTTTGCCTTTTTGAGGATTATAGTTAAAGTGGTGAAGAATAATAGCTACTCTTCTTTATGCTTAATATGCTTTAAACACCTCATCTAATTTTTTGAAGACAGAATTTATAGAGGCATATTATGATCATGTCATAATTAAGTGCAGAGGTGTGAAACTAAGGATATGTTTCAAATGTATCCTGGTATTTGATTATGCATTAGTTTTTTTATTGACTTTAGTAAGCATCTGCTATATTAAAGGCATGAGATACTAACCTTCATGGTCTTGATTGTTTATTAGGGAGGTAAGAAGAGCTAATTACAGTGAAGAATGATGACTGTCATACCTGGGGAAAGGAACAAGGAGACCATGGACATTTAAGGGAATAAATTTTGTTGTTTTTATTATTTTTACGTAAGGTACGGTGACTTAAAGTGGCCTATAGTGATTTGAAATGGCTATAATGTGCTGTAGTTCAGTCGTGTCCGACTCTGTGCAACCCTGTGGACTGTAGCCTGCCAGGCTTCTCTGTCCATGCGTTTCTCCAGACAAGAATACTGGAGTGGATTGTCAGGGGATCTTCCCCATCTAGGAATAGAACCTGTGTCTCTTGCATCTCCTTCATTGGCAGGGGTGTTCTTTACCACTAGTGCCATGTGGGAAACCAGACGATAATGTTACTAAGGCATAAATAATGTGAGGCTGATGTATGGAGTCAGTCATGCAGCTGATTGTTTAGCATCTTGCTGGGGTCCAGCCTCCGCAGGATCCAGGGGGTACCCTCAGGATGAAAGGCGTCGGCGAGAGAAGACACGTGAGACCAGCCTTGATGGGGCCAAGTCTGCGAGGGAGAGGGAGAGAGTGACCAGACGAGGGGTGCAGGCTAGTCTGGCAGAGTCTGGCAATGCTTCATTTTTTACCGCAGCTTTTATACCCTAAGTTAGTACATTTCTAAGGGGAAGATAGTTTAACATTACGTCAGCTTGTCTTTCACGAAACCAAGGTGTTTTCTGCATACTTTTTTGTTTATGAGGGTCTTGTACATTATCTTCTGGCCTTGGGGCCTATTAACATTTTATGCAGGTCAGGTGAATGTAAACCTGTTTTCCGTAATCTATTCTTTAATGAACACAAAGGTCAGTCCTTTTGCAGAAGTTATCAGTTAAATTTATCTAAAAGGTTTACCACACAAAGACTCTGCAGCTCCAGGGAGGCAGCCCCTGTTTAGCATTCCTGGTTAAGATGAACAATTCTAAACTCTTATTTTCCTAAATCTTTAACTATAACCATGCTTAGAATAATATTTTATGTTCTCTAATAGGGCTTCCTCACCCCCGAAGGGCTCTGAGCCTATTAGGGCCTTTGTGTGATCAGGTTCTTTATGCTGTTTATGATTAAGGTGTTGTGAGCAGTCATGTGCATTAGTCTGCATTAGCCAAGCAGGCTAGAATGCCAGCAAAGGGGTCTAAATTGAAACACTCCTTTCATCCTGGATAATCTTATAGGATACCACCGTCCGGCGGACATATTAATTAAGTTCTAAGTTGATTCTGTTTGGAAAGAGATCGGGGAAGGCCTTCTGCCCGTGTCACAGAAATCAGGGAGTAGTCTAATATAGCAAGCATCAGAAAGACAGAGGTCATCTTTAAGGTGAGCACCGGGGCAGCTTTTCGAAATCCCTGGGGTCCTGATCTGCCTTGCCTGTCAGGTCTTCTCCTGATGACCTTGTCATGGGTGGGATCTCGTGTGCTGGCTCCCGGCAGCACCTCTGTTTCAACTCGGATTTTTTGGCCACTAATCATCCTGGCAAATACAATAGCGCTTGTGAATGACTAAGTGCAGGGTCTTCTTTGCTGCTCAGGCTTTTGTCTGGTTCTGGTGAGTGGGGGCTGCTGTCCAGTGGAGGTGCACGGGCTTCTCTTCTCTGGAGCAGGGGCTCTCGGGCATCTGGCTTCAACGACTGGCACGTGGGCTCAGCAGTTGTGGCTCCTGCGCCCTAGAGCACAGTCAGTATTTGTGGCCTGGGCTTCGTTGCTCCATGTTATTTGGGATCTTCCTGGATCCGGAATCCAACTTCAGTCTCCTGCATTGTCAGGCAGACCCTTCACCACTGAGTCACCAGAGGAGCCACAACGTTTCTTCCTTCTGAAAGCTGTCTCTGAAAAGAAAGCCATTTGCTAGTGCTGTCAGGGCGTTCTCAAATCTAATGATCTGGGATGCTTTCAGAATAAGTCTGCTGTTGCTTTTTAATCTTCCTGACTTCGCTCATGCAGTAGAACCCCAGGCTTAGGGCAAGGGATTTTTTGGAGAGAGGGCTATGGAAATGGGTGTCAATGGGGAAGATCAACAGGCAAGAGTCGGATGTGACTTAGCAACTAAACAACAAGCGCAAGATGAATAGAAAAGAGTTTTATTTGAGTCAAAACTGAAGACTGTAGTCAGCAGGGCTTTCTGGGTGGCACTAGTGGTAAAGAATCTACCTGCCAATGTAGGACACCTAAGAGGCATGGGTTCAATCCCTGGGCCAGGAAGATCCCCTGGAGGAGAGCATGGCAACCCACTCCAATTTCTTATCTGGAGAATCCCATGGACAGAGCAGCCTGGCCGGCTATAGCCCATAGGGTCACAAACAGTCAAACACGACGGAAGTGACTAGCATGCACGCAGGAGGACTGTAGCCTGGGAAACATCCTCTCAGATACCTCTGAGGAAATGCTCTGGAGCAGACTGGTTTTCAACACAGTTTTATATCTTGTCGTAACAAAGAACATCATAACAGGAGTACCTTCCTTCAAGGTTTCAAAAAGACGTGTACAGAGTGAGTCAGTATCACCTGGAACGGGAGCTTAATCGTTGAAGGCAGGAGTCAGTGCTGCTTAAAGTCTTAGCTCTTGTCTGACCTGCGCTTCCGTCTTCAGATCTTTCTCACTCTGATCATCCTGCCTTCCTTTTATAAGGGGATTAATTGTGTCCCCCAGATAATTCAGAGGAATCTCCATATTTTGAAATCCTAACTTTATCATATCTGGAAGGTTTTTCGCCATTTAAAGTAACATTCACAGAGTCTGATGATTAGGACATGAACGTCTTCGGGGGGGCCATTGCTCAGACTAATATTTATCCCATAAATGTTGCCCCACATAATGTAGTTCTTCACAGAAAGTTGATTTTGGTGAAAGACGGAAAACTGATTAACCACCTGACTTCTTTCCATGTAATATTATTATGTAATTTGTATGACTTATTTAAAATTAGAATAAGAATGATCATTTTGTATTGCTTTACCTTTTTCAAAGTATACTGCTTGGTAAATATATGAACTGCAATGGACTTGGAGGTTAAAGGAGTTGCTGCTTCTCCTACAACTCAAACTCAGCCATTCTCTGGAAGAAGGAAGCCACTACAAGTATGTATGCTATATAATTTTCCTCTTGTAGGATGATTCATTAAATAATTTTCTGACTCCTTTCTTTGTGTTTTTATGACAATTCATAATCCCAAATATTTGGAATTAATTCTTAGATTTGAATAACTGAAAAAATTGAAGATAATCCTTACTTGAATGTTTTATTTTTAATTAAGCTTAATATCATTGTTTTCTTCTTATTATTTAAAAATTGTCTATGTATGTCTGCATACATATAAAATACAAAAAGTTTAAAAAGTAGAAAGAAGAAGAAAATAATCAATATATATTTTGTGTTAGCTAGGTAGGAAAAGAATCTGGGCTTCTACTGTTAGGACTTTCATTCTTTTCAACCTTCATAATATCACTACTGTATATTATTGATTAGGTGTAAGTTTAAAGATACTTTGTCTTTGTAATCACCACAGAATTGAGCAAACATAAAATTTAGTTTAGAAATACATAACATTGATATATATTTCCTTGCTATTCTTACTGTTTCAAATAGTGAATGCCTACTGTTTATCAGCAAACACAATAAATGTTTCAGCAATTTACTTTATTCTTACAATAAACCTTTGAGGTAGGTATTATTATTAACCTCCCTTATTTATTTTTATCTATCTATTTACTTGGGAGAAGGAAGGAGTTATTACTTGCAGCAAGTAAGGAGAACAGTAGGGAGTTTTCCCAAAGCAGAGTCTCCCTGAACTGCAAAACTGGGGAAGTTTTAGGCTAAGGGTTCATGCATGTTCATGATGGGGCTTGAGCAGAGGAGAACTGAGCATAGAATTGGGACAAAGGTTGACAGAGTCCAGGCTTTACTTGACTGCAGTCAGAAGGGTCAACAGCATCATTCCATCCTCCACCTCGGTGGGGGCCTTAGCTCAAAATAAACCTAATTAGTTTAACATTCCTCTCTGAGATGTTCCAGGGTTCCTTCCAAGCATCCAGAGTTAATTGGAGGCTGGTGTCAGGACTCACTAAAGCTCAGGTTCTTTATTTCTGGTTGCAGAAAGAGTTTAGGGAGAGACAAAGTGATAGGTAAGAAGTGGATTTATTTAGAGGTACACATTCCATAGACAGAATGTGGTCCATCCCAAAAGGTAAGGGCGGCGGCCCTGGGAGAGGCACATTCCACAGAGTGTGGACCTTCTCCCGAGAGGACAGGCCTCACCTGCCTTTAGATATGGAAGAACTGAGGCTCCTAGAGATTAAGTGACTCGTCAGGATTTTGAACTTCAGTTCTGACTTCAGTATCTGTGCTCTTTCCTCTGTGTTCAGCCATCTCCCTTATATACATGAGTGACAGCTTTGGGGTTTTTATGGTTCACAATATTATGGGCTAAGTCTGAACTATTTGATAATTTTAATCAAAGCAGCCCTTCTCGGGAGAGGCTATATTAGGTGTAAGTTCAGAGGAGATATGGCAAATCTCTGTACATTTTATACAGTTTTACTGTGAACCTAAAACTCTTCTAAAAAATAAAATTCATTAAAAAATGAGTTGCATAAAAAAATGTGAGATACAAAAATATCCAACTTTTAAAATAAAGAGCCAGGGAATAAATATTTTTGGCTTTATGGGCTGTACAGTCTCTCAACTTTGCAGTTTTTTTGAGAACACATAGGTAATTTGTAAATAAATGAACATGGCTGTGTGCCAGTGAAACCTTTAGCATAAAAACAAAGCTGAGTCTAGATTGCTGATCTCTTGCCTAGGGATTTGTAAACTATAATTTATCTTTATTCTGGATTGCCTAGCACAATTTTATTATAACTAGACAGGAAAGATAACTGCCATTCTGAAATATTTATCCCTATGGCCTCATTATTAGATAAACCTATTTAGCAGATTTTAATAAGTCTGTTAAAACATTTTGGGGAATAATAATGATCATGATGACGATGAAAACTACAGCTGTGTTCTATTTAGATCCCCTGTCCACAGAGAATCCCATGGACAAAGGAGTCTGGCAGGCTATAGTCCATGGTGTTGCAAAGATGCAGAAACAACTGAACAACTAACACTCACTTTTCACTCTTTCATATATATGAAATTATATTTTAAATTTATTATTAAACAGAATCAATATATACAATTGTTTTTATTTTGTCATTATATATTAAATATATATACATCCATTTAGATGATCATGTGACTTTATGTTCCTGCATTTTAACTATTTATTGGGACAGTACTTAAAACAATGCCATATTAAGGTTGATACTGAGCTGAATTTTTCTTTGGATTTCTCATAGTCCAAGTGATGAAGCCCAGTCTTGAATATAATTTCTGTTCTTGCTGTCAATATAAAAATGACCCATTAGATAATATTTCACAAGTAAGCTGTAAGTGCTTATAAATAAATAATTTCCTGCTTTTATTAACTTTAGCTTTCCCTAAGATTCCTACATAGTTCTTATTCCATGGTGACTAAGCTCACTGTAATTTTCATGTCTTTGCCTATGAGACATTTTAGTTTTTTTTAAAATTTATTTATTTTTAAATGAAGGATAATTACTTTACAGAATTTCGTTGTTTTCTGTCAAACCTCAACATGAATCAGCCATAGGTATCCATATATCCCCTCCCTTTGAACCCATTTTTTAGCAATAAAATAAAATATTTACAAACATATGCCTGTATATATTTGTCATTTCTTGCTTAACTCCTATCCTGTCTTCCCATTTCCTTTGGGATAACGTCCAGGTCCCTTAGTTTGCATTACAGTTTAACAGCTCTGTCCACTACCTCCTCACACCGTGGATTACAGTCTTTCCCGCCAGCTCTGGCCTGTGGGCCTGTGCAGGACAAGTTGCTCCTCCTGGCTGGAGCAGTTTTCTCCCTTCTCTCTGCATCTGGCTAACTAACTCCTACCAACCTTCAGAGCTGCATTTAAAGTTTCCTTTTTTATTTTTGAAAAAAGCTACCTCAGTTCCCTAGACTAGGTTGGGTACACATGCTCTGTGCAGTTGCTGTGTCTCAGCATGTATTTTCCACATTGTCTGAATGAATGTCTTCCCGAGCAGAGTCCGATGCTGGTTATTATCCTATCTCTGCACATCAAGCACAGTGGGATGGGGCTTCCTAAATATTTCTTACGTAAGCTTACTGAGAAAAATTATAATTAGTCTTGTTGCATTGGCACATTGGTTATCTTTTAAAGTATAAATAAATGACACATGCATACTGATTCTAATTTTTTTAATTAAAGCAAAGATGGACCTCCAAATCACGTGCTATGGAGGATCCTTGCCTACCTGTGTAAGTTACATTTCTTCACATTTGAGCCGTTTAATGGGTAAATATGTAAGTATACATTGACAAGCAAAAAATAAAGAAAAATTATATATATAGCTATGATTATGAACTACAGAAAAGTTTATATACATGTTGATGCCCTGAAAATTATTACATCCAAACTAAAGTATTTCTTGTGATAGGATGGTAGGACTAAGGCTAATAGTTCTCTTGTTGTTTAATTTTCTTTAGTATTATTTTTATATTTTCCTGAAAAAGTTAAAATATTGTTTTATTTAGAAAATTCAGCTTAGAGTATTTATTAAAAAATTCATATAAAATATTGCACTTTTATTGGGATAGTCAAAATGATTTAATGGGAGGTTATCTGTTCTTTAATCTTATCTTGAGGAATATGATAATTTTATCAGTCTTATTAAAGTGATTTAATTTTGGACTGGAATACATTAATTGTTATATATTTTAAATTTTTGCTTTTCAAAATTTGGAAGAATATGATTTTTATATTCTTTCAAATATTGGGTTGGCCAGAATGTTCATCTGGGTTTTTCTGTAACATCTTATGAAAAAATCCAAATGAACTTTTTGGTCAATCCAATATATTAGGCTACAGGGCTTCTTGGAAAACAGAAATTAAAAACTAACATATTAATTTGAACTATATAAAAATGACATTTTTATAGATTAACAATGGGCAAATATCAGCAATTTCACGTGGTCCACAAAATAGATACCTGTTTGCTCATCCAGACAAAGAACAGAGCTAGGTATAGATGCTAGATACAATATTGAGTGTGTGATGCCAGTCAGTTGTTTGCTGGAAAATGTCTAACAACTGGTTTTCTAGACATGTACTATAAGTTCATCATATACTTTACTTGCTAATTTTAAATAAAATTAAGTATATTTTAAGTTGATTATATATTTTATGTAACAATATCAATCAGGGTGAATATTGGTTGATATTTTCATCTATTTTAGAGTGACATGAGTGATTTCTTTGCCGAATCAAGTAATAGTTTTGAATAGCAGAATAATACTTCCTCAGTTTTTTATTATTCACCATGTGACAGTTACAGGTAATACTTTTTAATATGCACTACTAACATTCTTTCCACCACATTTATCAGCCTTAGAAATCAACAAAATAATATACCAAGGCCTGCTTCATAACATCTGCCCATTTCTGTGTAAATAATCGCACTGTGGCTAATTTCAGTCTATCATTGAACACAGAGTTGGAAAGAGATGCCACCCATGTATTGCCATTCAGATATGATAGCTATAAATAACCTCTATAAAGCAAGAAATAGTGAAGTATGGTAAAGCTATTAAGAAGTGATGGGTTTTGAATATTTATTACCTTTGTTTTTCATATAATTGATGCAATTATAAGTTTACATAATTTTGTTCTTAATAATTCTGTGTTAACAACCTGTGCAAAATATTACTGAACATTTAACAAAAGCCTCTCACAGCTGGTAAGAGCCAGCACACCACTGGCTACAGTTTACCTGTTTATATAGTAAGACACAGCATATGTGACTTGCAACTATTAAAGATTCATTTAAAAAAAATTATGGGATACATAACTATTTCTTTCAGGGTCCCACAACTTGATCTGGGAAGCCTTGTTGACTCTGACGATGAGGTAATTTTTACTTGGTATTTCATATTATAAACATTTGAACAGAGTGTTATAGGTAGCATATCACTAGTGTCATTTAATCTCAGTTTTTAGGATGATTTACCATATAGGCCACTTAGTACATCACATATTCATTTTAACCCAACAAATTCCTCTTTTGCTTTTGCTTGGGTAACACCATGTCACACACCGTACACCAGCATCACCTATATGACCTGGTTCGTATTCACTTCTTACTCCCAGCTTTCTGAAGTACAGAGTGCACTTGTCACTCTATTTAATCCATAAATTTCATTATGTTCAGTCTATGTTTAGTTTAGTTTAAATATCAGTTCAGCACAGTCGCTCAGTCGTGTCTGACTCTTTGTGACCCCATGAATCGCAGCATGCCAGGCCTCCCTGTCCATCACCAACTCCCGGAGTCCACCCAAACTCATGCCTATCGAGTCAGTGATGCCATCCAGCCATCTCATCCTCTGTTGCCCCTTCTCCTCCTGCCCCCAACCCCTCTCAGCATCAGCGTCTTTTCCAATGAGTCAATTCTTCACATGAGGTGGCCAAAGTATTGAAGTTTCAACTTCAGCATTGGTCCTTCCAAAGAACACCCAGGACTGATCTCCTTTAGGATGGACTGGTTGGATCTCCTTGCAGTCCAAGGGACTCTCAAGAGTCTTCTCCAACACCACAGTTCAAAAGCATCAATTTTTCGGCACTCAGCTTTCTTCACAGTCCAACTCTCACATCCATACATGACCACTGGAAAAACTTGACTAGACAGACCTTTGTTGGCAAAGTAATGTCTCTGCTTTTTAATATGCTGTCTAGGTTGGTCATAACTTTCCTTCCAAGGAGTAAGCGTCTTTTAATTTCATGGCTGCAATCACCATCTGCAGTGATTTTGGAGCCCC